TGAGTGTTCAATATGGCAGGTAGCCGGTTTACAGACTGGTGAAATACCTTATGTAATAATTCTACGTATGTATTGTAGCCAACTTATCGTGACAGACTACTTCCATCACCGGCACTGCAATTCTAGTGGCAATTGTTGGCGCCGACATTGTTAACACCTTTACACACACACACACACACAGACACACACACAGACACACACACACACACACACACACACACACACACACACACACACACACACACACACACACACCCCACACGGGAGAGAGGGGAGGCGATGGGAAAATTTTTGGGAGCAAGGCCCGCCCACATCGCTGCTAAGAATGCAAGAACTGGGAGTAAAAATAAGCACAGTGGCGCGGTGATTTATGTCACAGGCGTGAGGGGAAGTTAAGTCCAACATGATGTGTATAAGGAGATACTCCGTACGTCACTCGGGCGCCAGTCCTTCACTATCCTGGTTGTACGGAACCTCACGCAAGACCCCTACAGCACGTCCTCGTCGTGCGCCACGGATAATGTCTCAAATGAGCATTAACAGAGCTGTCAGGGGATCTCGGAGTTCGACGGCCCCCAGAGGTGATGTGTCCTTGTGGCTCTCATCAGCCCGCCCCCAAACGCTTGGGTGAAAAATGTTATCAAAACTCATTAGGAACATGAGTAGGTTTGACAAACGTACAGCTAAAATTACAACCCTTGGTTAAAAGACTGCGGAGTAAAGAGATCATTGCTCAATGCACATCCTCTGTTAATTCTCAGTGTCGTCGTCACCGCGCTGAGGTGCACCACAACAGCAACCATCCATGGGCTGGCCATCCTTGTGCATCCTCGGTTGGCCCTCAGTGTCGTCGTCACCGCGCTGAGGTGCACCACAACAGCAACCATCCATAGGCTGGCCAGTCACGTACATCCTCGGTTAACCCTCAGTGTCGTCGTCACCGCGCTGTGGTACACCACAACAGCAACCATCCATCGGATGGCTAAGCCTAAATGTCCGACAAAACTAGATCATACGGATCAAAATCTGACCATCAAAATTTGCACTGAACTGAAAAAGACCGAATGTCCACACCCAAAGACCCCACTCGCCCGAGTGTTGGGACAAAACTGATAACGATATGCCTGATTCAGGATGTGAAATTCTGTCGGGCTAATGTACCTATCTGTGTGGTCACAAAGGTCCAAAACCCACGGGCTGCTCCCCGCTGACTTCCAGAGGGCGCAGCCCCTGTCGAGCGGGAGGCCTGATACGGTTGTGAGGTTAAGCAGGCATGTGCAGGACGTGACGATTCCTTGGGTGAGCCCAGAATCAGAGCGCCATGTGCCGGCTCTGCATGCATGGAAAACTCCTTGGATGGCGGGGAATGCCCATGATCTGCCCCTGCCTTCCCTTGAGGGCCAACTGTTCCACAGGGGGCTGTCCCAAAGGGGTACTCCGGGGGCAATACCTGCGGCGAAGGAGACAAGGTGGACACCACACAAATCAGGCAACGTCTCGACCCACACAAAACAATGGCCACAGTCACCCTAGAAATAGGCCTGACGTCTTCCTTCGAAGTCGGCGTACAGCTGCCCAAGAGGCAGGGAAATAAAAAACGGTTGTACACGCAAAAATCAGGTCCAGGTGAAAGCCAAAAGTTCAAGCGGACGATTAACCGGGACCTTCCACTGGAATTCACAGCCGGTGTTCGATGAAAAAAAAAAAAAATAAGCACAGCCAGGCACAAGAGGCACACCGGAATATGAAAAGTCTTGTACTTTCCCGGAGTGCTGTGAAGATAACCCACCTCATAACTATTAGCTCTCGCGAGAAAATGCTTAGGAAACATGTAAATGAAACCTTCACTATATATGTGTGTGTGTGTGTGTGTATATATATATATATATATATATATATATATATATATAGGAAGAAAAGCAGAAAAGCACTAAGCATAAATAGTGTAATCAGAATATGCAAAGATAATTATAATTACTCTGTAAAATGATATTGTTTTATTTCGTTTCTGTTTTAGAAGATCACCAAAATGAAAGTCCGTTGCTTAACAACTTTAATATATCGCTCATTCAATTTGATGACCAAATAGCATCTGAAGTATTGTCAAACCATCTTGTTGAACCAAGGGAATTTGATGACCAAATGGCATCTGAAGTATTGTCAAACCATCTTGTTGAACCAAGGGAATTTGATGCTCAGCCGCATGTTGGAACAAATAAATTGGATGTACCTCTGGCTTATCTTGATGAACCAAACGATACTGACGCACTGTCCACCCAACCCGTTGAACCAGTCAAGGCAGACATACCTTCTATCCAACCTATTGATCTAATAAACGTCTATGAACCTCTCATCCAATTTATTGAACCAGTCAACGTCGAGGTACCTTCCATCCAACTGATTGAACCAGTAAACGCGGATGTACCTTCCATCCAGCTTGCTGAACCAGTAAACGCGGATGTACCTTCCATCCAACCTGTTGAACCAGTAAAGGCAGATGTACCGTCTATCCAACCTATTAATCTAATAAACGTCTATGAACCTCTCATCCAACTTATTGAACCAGTCAACGCAGATGTACCTTCCCTCCAACCTGTTGAACCAGTAAAGGCAGATGTACCGTCTATCCAACCTATTGATCTAATAAACGTCCATGAACCTCTCATCCAACTTATTGAACCAATCAACGTCGATGTACCTTCTATCAAACTCATTGAACCAATAAACGCGGATGTACCTTCCATCCAGCTTGCTGAACCAGTAAACGTCGATGAACCTCTCATTCAGCTTGCTGAACCAGTCAACGTTGATGTACCTTCCATCCAACTTATTGAACCAATAATCAACGCCAATGTACCTTTAATCCTTCATATTGAGCCAGTCAACGCCGATGTACCTTCCTTCCAAAGTATTGAGCCAGTCAACTCTGATGTTCCCTCCATCCAAATTGCTGAGCTAATAAACGCCGATGTACCTTCTTTCCAACTTATTGAACCAATAAACGCCGACGTACCTTCATTCCAATTCGTTGAGCCAGTTAACGCCGAAGTACCTTCTTTTGAACTTATTGAACCAATAAACGTCGATATGCCTTTCATCCAACTCAATGAATCAATAAAAGCCAATGTACCTTCCATTCAACATACGGAACCAACTCACCCCACTGTCCTGTTCACGCAATCTGCTGATCTAGTGAACACTAAGATACCACCCAGCCAACTTCAGTTTGTTGACCGAGACTATCATGATATAAAGCCAACGTTCGCCACTGATTCAACAGAATTGGATACGGCAAAGATCAAGAATGGTAAGATGCTAATATCACCAGCCAGCCCTCTACAAGGATCTTTGCCAAGACTGTCAGATTTAGCGAACCAGTCGTGGAAGGAAACTGGTGAAGAGGTGAGTTTATTGTTATGTTTTGTTGTTGTTCTAAACAGCAAAAAATAATACAGAGTGAGAAACAAGAACGAAATTTATAATCAGCTTAATTCAACATTGATCGCTGACATCATGAGAACTAATAGACTAAAATGGCTCGGTCATATTGAGAGAATGAGAAATTTGAGAAAGGCTGTGAACAAAACTAGACTAGACTATATGAGAAACGAATAAATTACAAGAACTACTGGAACAATACATATAATTAAATTCATTAAAAAAAAAAACAAATATTCAGATGGTTTGGCCATTACATGAGAGTGAATCCAATGCATCAACGAGAGCGTACAACATGAAAGTAGAAATATTAAGAAGTAAGGGATGACCAAGAAGAATATGAACCGAAGGAGTCACTGATACTTTGAGACTACACAACATCACACAGCAACTGTAAGCACCCTAGCTCGGATAACGACCATCTAGTGACCTGCAAGGCCTAGCGACACAAAGCAGAATAGGGACAATAGGAAGAAAGAATATCTTTCTAGGTATTCTCAGCTTATATTCTGGTTATAACATAACATAACCCTTGACCCGTTATGGTCGTGGTCGGGAATAGACGAAAACACCAGCGTACACACCCCGCCGACTTTCTCTGTCTTCCGCTTGTTGAATAGGTGAATAATAATTTATTACTGTCCCTTTTTTGATGTTGTCGTTCCAAATTGTTCGTTGCCCCGCCCCCTTTTTTCCTCGACTACCCCCCCCCCCCCACCACATATGCTCCGTAGGTTCTTGTCACGTTTCCAGGGCGAGGCTCCGTCCACTTACTCACTGGTAACTTTTCATTCATACTTCGTCGGGCTGGTAAACTTTTATAAAGGTTACAGGGGTGTCCCGATTTACTGTTTTGTTTAAAAGGCTTTCTCTGTTTTCTTTACCGGCCGATGATATCGCGTGTTCTATATTCCACGGTGACAGTGCTTTTAACGGTCTTAAAACATGCAGAACAAGCCCTAACACAAACACCCCTACGAGAGTGCTGCAACCTAGGTACGACGGATTCTCTTTCTCGGAATGAAAACGTAACTAGAAGACAACACAGAAAGCTTTTCGAGCAAACAGCAAACCGGGATACACCTGTAACCTTGACCAAAGTTCTATCCTGACCAAGCACTAATCAAAAGTGACCAGTGTGATAGTAGGTGGAGCCTGGGCCTGACTTCGTGACTAGTTCCGTGAAATATATTCTTTGCAATCGAATCACGTCTCACCACGTATCTCACCCAAGTAAGCTTGCGATCGAGTTTCAACACTACCAAAAGAGGCTATTGATGTCCCGCGAATTTGTTTCTTTTGCCTCTTATATGTTTGTTAGTTTTATCATTGTTATTTTTTTTTATTTGTTGGTGGGTGGTCTCCTTGGCAAAGTGGTCAAGGCGCTCGCCTCCACTCTGAAGATCATCGGTTCGCTTAACTGCTGCGCCGTTCATTTCACAAGTGAAATTTTCTTTCATATAAATCCATGGATAGTCGCCGGAGTGCTCTGTATAATAAAATCCGGTGCAATGAAGTGGATCCTCTGGACCTTAACTTTATTTGTTGGTTATGCAAATCAGGAGACGGACCTGTGTCAGCATCAATGGGAGCGCTGTCTCAGATGTTGCTGCCAAGTTATCTCCGAGGCCAATGTTTACCTAGGCAGCATTGCCAGTTCCTCCATTTGTAATGAGGTTCTGCGGTCAAGTCAGGGCTTAGTGTATGTTTCCGGTAAGTAATTTGTTATAAAATAAAGAAGACTTTTCCATGCCTTTAGGGGTATTAGAAATTTAGTGCTAGATCTATGTTTTATAGACTAGTCGGCACTAGTGCCAAAGCTAATCAAGTAATGGGGCAAATATCTCCCCCGTTGACACACAAGCAGATACCGCGGAGTAATAAAGTGAATCTTACCAGAATTATTTCTTTGGCCAACACTATGCTATCAATGCCAAACGTGGATACTTACATCCTCCAATGGACGTAAAATTGTGACAACAGAGATGAAATGCTTTAGAAGAGCTGCAGGAGTTTCAAGGAAAGACAGAATATAAAAGCACGAAATTAGATGAATGCTAGGAATAAAGCCAGTCTTATAGGTCATCAAAGAACAACAAATGAAGTGGTTTGGACACCTAACAAGAATGCCCTGGTACTATCTGCCACAGCGAGCCACACTAAAACGTTATAACGGGTATAGAGCGAGTGGAATACATAGGAACAGGTAAAGTGATGGCATTATGAACAACCTTACAAAAATGAAAACATCAGTCTTAATAGTGCTCTTGACAGAGCTCACCAACGAATATTACATCTTCCCCCGACACTTCGATGAGGTACAAGGTGGAAGAAGAAGAAGAAGAAGAAGAAGAAGAAGAAGAAGAAGAAGAAGAAGAAGAAGAAGAAGAAGAAGAAGAAGAAGAAGAAGAAGAAGAAGAAGAAGAAGAAAAAGAAGAAGAAGAAGAAGAAGAAGAAGAAGAAGAGGAAGAAGAAGAAGAAGAAGAAGAAGAAGAAGAAGAAAAAAAAAATAAATAAAAAGACAAATTATAAATACAATCTTTATACCGACATTAGGTTATCAATGTCAGACTTGGACATTAACAAAAGAACACGAGAGAAGACTAACCACCTGTGAAATGAGATGTTTGAGAATGGCTGCGAATAAAACCAGAAGAGATCGAGTGAGAAACGATGTGATTACAAGAACTATTGGAACCATACCCATCGTTAAATTTATTGAGAAGCAAAGAATGAAATGGTTTGGTCACCTAATGAAAATGGAACCAACGATGCCAGCATCAAGAGCATACAACATGAAAATCGAAACACCAAGAGGCAGGGGAAGACCAAGAAGAATATGGATTGAAGGAGTCACGGACAACTTGAGACTTCATAACATCACGGCATATGAAGCGACTGAGCGCGCCCTGGCTCGGTTGCCGATCATCTGATAGACTGCGACGCCTAGCGGCACAAGCAGATTTTGACTAAAGAAGAAAAGAAGAAGACGCCCGTCGCCTTTGCTTTCCATGACATTACCTGCTACCCATTAAACGCTGGGTCGACCTTGGAGCCAAAGTGATTTTTGATTTTCGGATCCGAGGTTGATCGTCTAGCCGCTACCCCACGGCAGCTCATTTATGTTATAATGCGTTTATAAAATGGTTTTACGTATGTTACTGCACTATGTTACAACGATTGTGTGACGGAGAGTAAAGCACAGTGAAGCCCGCTTGTGTTAAATTCGAGGCCGAAGTAGTAGATATAACCAACTCCTCATGGCGCAAATCATTAGAGGTTTCTTGGAGTGGCTGCTGCATTGGAGGACTGAGCACGCATGGGAATGCCTAGTGGGCAGTGACGTCGATTGTGACAATGAAATATAAAATTTCTTATTTGTATGTCCGTGCATGTGTCTGTTTTTTTGTTTCTTCCTTTGATGGAATTAACTGTTCACCCATTTTTAAATTGGGCAGTGAAGGGAACTGTGTGGGATTGTCAGCGTTGACCTATCTGCACTTAAGTTGAAACCTAGACTATTTATAATATTACTTGTACTATGTGTATATGAATTCCACGTTGGAGATCACATATAAAGCAGAGACAACTTTCTCTAAGGAAAAATGTAGTTACGAGGTACACATTACAAACAACGTACACAGTACGTCACAGGTCGAGGTACGTGACTTGGGCGTTGTCAACGCGCTGTGTAATGCCGAAGTGTCATGTTCGATAGCAGCTACAAAAGATTTGGCTGCAGACTTTCTTGCGTTGGGATCGAGAGCCAACCTTTCAGTGAGCAATGCCAAACCAACTTACTTACCCACTTGCCTGAAGACAACTAATCACACCACGAATTTCACAGCTGACGGGACAGGCAATTAAAATGTCCATGTTTATTCCTTCGCAATTCTTGAACCACTAAACAAATGCGATTGTAGGTCGGTATGTAACACGTTAAAAGGCTACTGAATGATGCAGTCATTGAATTGTGTCGCTATGGCAAACATAAAGAAAAAAAAAAAAACAACAGCCAGTCATGGTGATTTTGGGACAGCGCTCGTATACTGCGTGCACGCTACAGTTTTTACTGCTGTCCTCGAGGGGCTGGTCTTGCTACTCACCCTCGCCACCGCTATGGGCTGTGAGTCCCATGCCTCCTCATAGCGCAATATAACACTATCGTCTGAAAAGACGAGGGGCGAGTTTTTTGCACAGTCAAATTGAATTACTCCCACTTTAATTCTGATTTGATCATTCCCCCCCCCCCCCCTTGCTCCTAATATGTTTAACTGTCGTCCCCTTGTGGGATGCAATTTTTTTTTTAGTTTGAAGCCCCACCCTGGCTTTTGCCGGGGGTAGTTAATATAACCGGGCCTCAAATATGCCCTAATGGTTGAACAGGGTTTCCGGGACCTCTCCACGGGTGATCCTTTTCCGCATAGTGGCACTTTGTGTCACATGGTGTTAATCGCTTGTGTTATGTCCTGGTGGAGTACAACTTACCTACCTACCTACCTACCCACCTAGTATGTCGAGTTCTGTTCTCGAGAATTATGTCTCAGTTGTAATTTGAATGTTATGTTCTGTCACCGTGTAAACATATTTGTTTTGAATATTAGTGATTGTGTTTATGCGTCCGTTTATTTTTTCAGGCCTGGAAGAAATTTACCGGATTGTCTGCAGAGTGGCGACATCCATGCGATCCACAGGTATATACATAAGTGAGAGAACCACGGGTATGCACTTAGTTTTATTCATAGATATGCGATCCACAGTGCTTAACACTCTTGACATCCTGAACAACAATATTGACAGATTACAAGACAAGGGCATATTTACTGTAATTTCTATCATACTTTAAAGGTTTTAATTTTAGCCCCGCTTGAAAATAACTCAACAACCAGCAACAACAGCAATAATAATAATAATAATAATAATAATAATAATAATAATAATAATCATAATAATAATAATAACAACAACAATAATAACAACAACAACAACAACAATAATAATAATAATAATAATAATAATAATAATAATAATAAATATAATAATAATAATAATAATAATAATAATAATAATAATAATAATAATAATAATAAATATAATAATAATAATAATAATAATAATAATAATAATAATAACTTATATATGGGGGCTGTAGCTCAGATGGTAGAGCGCTCGCTTAGCATGTGAGAGGTACGGGGATCGATACCCCGCAGCTCCAAATTTTTTTTTTTTAACGATGTTTTTTAAGATGGCAAAGTTTGCCTGGCGCTCTGAAGGTAGTGGTTTCGTTTTACGGCTTCACTGTTCATTCAGTTCATGAGTGTAGTTTTTACGGAGATCCCTGGGTATCATAGCCGGAGCTACGAAGTTCGTGCTCTATGTGGTGCTGTCGGCAGGCGGCTTGTCGTTCTGCGGAGCGAGACCGAGCTATATGGGATAAAACCAAATCAGTCTTTTCTTGTATAGCTCATTCTGACAATGTCCTTCGGATGTATATGGCACTGATTGTACTTTTTTCTTCTACAAATCCACACTGTTCATCGTTGATTTCTGATTTAATTTTGTTTCTTATTCTTCTCATAATTATTCTCAGAAACATCTTAGTCATGTGACTCATAAGACTTATTGTGTGATGGTCTTCACAATTTAAAGTGCTTGGTTTCTTTGGCGGAGCTATAAATCTGGATTTTAAAAGGTCGTTTGGAATATCCAGAAGTAATTATAGAAACATCCATTTGAAACCTAAGCCCTTGGTTCGCTTCCCGAAGAGTTATTTACTTATTAGTCTCGCAAACGTTTTTACGCTTTCATTTGCAAAATAAATAAATAATAAATGAATAAATGTGCAAAACGACTAAATTGAGAAACCGGTATGAAGGTGCAGATATTTCCATGAACATCCTAATGAAATTCACAGTGTGAATTTAAATCGATCTCCTTGATTTTAATAAATCTGGCCACTAAGGCGAAATTGGCATCCTTATTACTGCCATAAAATCTTGCTCTGGAGTTCTAACCAGCCACCTGTCCATGGAAGATCCCTTTATTCATAGTTTCAATAATCCTAGCCCTGCAGGCATGAATGTTCAGCATGTGTGTTTTTGTAATTTAATTGAATATAACTGTTCATTTCGTCCTCTCCCCCTTTTTCCCCTGTTCTTTATATGAAATCTCGATTTTGAGTCAATTTCCTTTTCAGCTATTTCATCAATGGAGCTGGAGCAAACATTGAGACACATCGATATCGCCTGGAACAACTTGACAGCATTTCTAGCCGGAGCTTCACTTCTGGTAAGTTACAAAGGAAACACATACAGAGGATCAATGTGTATATTCCGGAGCTCTATTTAGAGGGAAAAAGAGGGAGGGGCGGAGAGATAATAGAATCATTGCCATTAACAAGCAGGCCGCAAATGGCGACAATTTTGCTGAAATATTTGTTGGACTGAAAGGCGCAGATATTAGTCTAGCTGTAAACCTCAACACAACGTACCAACCGTACTTTGAAGGGCGAAAGCAGAAGACACTTTTGCGCAACCGAAAAAAGGGTGGGAGAGAATCATTGTATATTGATAGTAAAAGTAAAGTAAAGATCCCTTTTCAGGCCCTAGGCGCATCGGGCTATGGGAAGAGCATCCCATATTTGTACACACCAATCGATACTACGTGGGTAATGTGGTCAGCCTTACGGCGGCCGTCTTTACTTCCCCAGGACAGCCATCCTGGTACCCATTTTGGGCCATGATAAAAATTCACTCAACCAGCAGTGGGTTTTGATCGCGGTACGTTGGAATTACGAATCGGATTTGCAAAGCCCAAGTCACAGACGCCGCACATTAATAGCATACTGATAATATTAATAAAATTTATAAAAATAATGTTCTAAATCGCCAATTAATAATCGCAATAATAAGAAATGTATTAGGCAAAGAATTTTAAAAATGTTCTCTATAAATGGACAAAAAGGGCTCCTCATCCCTGTATGAAAAAAAAAAGGGGGGGGGGGAAGCTGAAGACACAACTGGAGATGTGTGTAGGCTTAAAAACTTTGGGCTAGGAGAGGAGAGGGTTAAGGTATCAGAGCCCAAATCAGACTCGTGTAGGGTTGTAACCTCTGAGTGTAGAGAGCGACCAACAAGCCCTTGTAGAATCAGATATTCAAACAAATGATTCTCGACAGTTCTCGCCCAGGTGATGTGATTATCTATACTGATAGATCTATGTTGAGAACTAGAAAAAGTACATAGGGACTCAAAACGAAAGCGATTGAATACAACAAAGCCCAGGACATAAAAGCACATCTAGTTAGATAACAGTGGTTGAGGCAGTCACAGACGGGGGTCAAGAGGCGATATGGTCAAGTCATTTGCCTCGCGCTTTGAAGTTCTTAGCTTCATTCCACAGCTGCGCGATCAGTTCAAGAGTGCAATTTTTACTCAAATCCCTGCGGATCGTCGCCAAAGCTATGGAATTCGTGCCTTTTGCGACACTGTCGAGAGCCGGCTAGCCATACTTGGCAGAGAAGCCGAGTCATATGGGATACAGTCAGGTACAATGAAGTCGACCCTCTGGACTTTAAAATTGACAGCAGCTTTTCACTGGCTCCTTTAGATTATTTTATCTATGTCATGCAGGTGCCTTAGAAAATGAACAGCCAGACTGCTTGACTGGTGCCGCTGGGTGGTGAATTTATGCATGACAAACTGAATGTGATCAAGGCTATGTGGAATCAAGTGAACAATGCGATAACGCAAATTTGTCATTTAGTGTGGAAAGAATTAGCAGCGAAGGGTGGCCACAGGATCTGGCCACGACCGGCCAGCTGCAGCTAGAGCCGGTCATGATCTGGCCGATACTCTACACTCACAGCAGAGGCACGACGGTCAGATGTAATGGACTTCATGGTTGCCTGCCCAAGGGCTGCCTGGTATATCATGTTCTGTAACCAGGTCTATCTTGCTCTGTCCCGTCTCCTCTTTTCCTTTAATGAGCCCTGTAGTGCTGTTTTTGAGAGTTCGTTAGATCTTATAACATCTCCGAACAGTTACATTTTCCGTCTTTTTACTGTTATTAGAAGATGTTCGTAGTTACCTGTGTCTTGGTTAATCATGACCTCGTCATTAGTCTATGGTCAGTTCTTAATAATTCAAATATTGCATTTGTTTTCTTCTTCTAGACACAACAAGAAACTCTGGTTTCCACCAACTGTATACTACCATCAGACTCGGAAGGTTCTCAAAATTTAGCCTGTGGCGTCTGCCTGTTCAGTGTGGATTCTACACCATGGATTACTTCCTATTGTGGTGACGATGCCAACCTGGGAAAAGTGTCGCTCTTTGGGTGCCAGTACCACGTGACCTGTGCCAACTTCTGGGTGAACTGTGTGGATCAGACTCTGCCAACATTAAAATTGTCCAATATTTTATAGGGAGCCGCAAAAACATGGTGGCTGGATGCTCGCTTGCCTGTCCGATGGTCGAGGGTTAAAATCCGCTCAGAGACATATGCAGGGTCGGATTTTGACTTGATGACACCCTAACACACACACACACACATATATAGTCCTGAAACCCCTATCGTTTTAAAATGACACCAATTATTCTAAGAAAACTTAAAAATGTTTTTTAAATATTTGGGCAATGAAAGTTTATTGTTGTTTAATTTTTTTTTTTTAATTGAAAGAAATCACAAAGAATGTATTTGTTTCATCGCTAAATTTTCTCCCTCTTCCTTCCCCGCACTCTAACGGATAGATGCTCGCTTGCGGATCGTGAGGTAGTGGCTTCGGATTCTAAGAGAAACCGGAATTTTTTTTTTTCAAAATGACCTTGGCTCCCAGGTCGACCCAGCCTGAGTGGGTATCAGGTACAGTTCTGGGAAGTAAAGGCGGTCGGCGGGATGTTGACCACGTCACCTACCAAGTGCCGTTTTGGTTTATAAAATATAGTTCTGGCCCTATATATCCTTTACTTTACTGACCTTTCCTTCACACGTAGACACAATGCAGGAAATCATATCGGCCACAGCTCAAGAATAACTCTTTAGGTCGGTAGGCTATCCTTCTATCAGATCTTTGCATCACATATGTACCACTCGTATTTTGGTTGTGTATGTGTGGGACAATAAGGTGTGTGGATGTCCACGCGACGTTGTAAATACTTGTAAGATTTAATTGTAATTGGAGTGATCGTATTCTAGTAGAGACCGCAGGTGATGAACATTAGGGTTGGCTGCAATGGGTCTCCAACACTCGCTGTTGAGACTACAGTTTGTCCCTCTGTTAATGGTTTTGTATCGCTGTCTATCTCTTTGCTGTCTTGAGACTACAGTTTGTCCCTCTGTTAATGGTTTTGTATCGCTGTCTATCTCTTTGCTGTCTTGCCTCCAACTTCCCCCTCATGGATGTTTGTTTAAAGTGTTTTATGGTGTTTGATGCTGTTTTATTGTGCTCTCTGGGCAAAGAATTGTAAAAGCTAACGTTCCAAACCTCACAGGTAATAACAGTAACATCAAAAAATAAAAGCAAACTGAGGGTATCATTTTCGATAGAAACCTATTTTTCAGGGATCATGATGAAACAGCTGCGGTGAAATGTCAAAAAGGACTCAATGCTCTCAAGATTATGGCAGCAATGGACATGGAACAAAGAATATTGTTCACAATGTTCCAGCTTGTGATCCTGTCGGTAAATATATTATGGACTTGGCATGCTTACCATATCAAAGAGTCAGGTGATGAAACTTGAACGCATACAGAATGAAGCCATGCGGGTAATTCTGGGATGTACAAGAAACTCCGGTAGTATGTAAGCGATGTATACTTAACACTGCCTACTATTGCAGATAGGCTCAAAGTTCTGCAAGCAACGTCACATCTCAAAGTAGCTGCGGACAAGAGGCACGTCCTGCATACAGCTCTTTGGATAGAGCTAAGGGTCACAGACTGAAAAGAGGAAAGTCTTGGATGGCGCAAGCTGAAGACACAATTGGACATGTGTGCAGGCTTGATACATTTAGGAGAAAAGAGGAGTAGGTCAAAGTGTCCGATCAGGTTTTTGACTTGTGGAGGGTTCTAATCACTTTGGGACGTGAGTGCAAGGACTGGCCAGCTGGTGCTGCAGAATCAAAAGTTCAACAAATGATTCATGAAAATTCCCGCCCAAGTGATGTGATTGTATATGCAGATGGCTCTGTGTTGAGGGGCAGACGAAGTGGATGGGGGTTCATGGCGAAGGCTAATGGACGCCGCTCGGTGCAACAAAACCTGGTGTATGATATCACAACGTGTAGTTTGAGAATGGAGGCGGAGGCAGTCACTGCTGCCTTCCGCTGGCTTGAGAATCAGCTGTACACACATGTCGTCATTGTAACTGACCCATAGAGCAGTTGAGAAAGGTGGAGAGAGGCATTCTCAGTGTAGAGTGGCAAGCTTCACCATGATGGTCATGGGTAGTTAACATCCTTTAGATATTTTCTCCAGGTCATGCCGGTGTGTTTGGAAATGAACAGGCAGATAGACTGGTTGGTTCTGCACCACATTGTGGTGAACTGATGTCTGACAAGCTGGATGTTGTGAGGGCCTTTGGGAGTTAGTGAACAGTGCCGAGGAACAGATAAATTATTACGGTCTGAGGAGAATGGCACAGCGAGGAGTTACAAGTTCTCTCTCTCTCTCTCTCTCTCTCTCTCTCTCTCTCTCTCTCTCTCTCTCTCTCTCTCTTTTTCTCTCTCTCTCTCTCTCTTTCTCTCTCTCTTTCTTACTCACTCTCTCTCTAACTCACTCTCTCTCTCACTCACTCTATCTCTTTCACTTACTTTCTCTTTTTTATTTAACTTACGTAGCTTTTGTTATTGTCAGAAGGTTGTTTTGGTACCCACAGTTAACCACATTTGTGGTAACCTAACCTCTCTGTGACAGTTCGAAACAGACTAGTCTTAAAAATTTGTGGACATTCTGTAGAAAGATCTAAAATTGTGAAACAGCGCTTTTCCACTACTACCTCCTGGTCGACATTTTGAATGAGCTCATCTGTTACATATGAATGTTGACATTGTCCACCAACATCATGCATATCTTTACGCAAAATCTCTGAATTCCCTGCACCAAAAAATATGTTTAAATCATCTTTATTCATTGCCATCATGATAGCTAATAGAATGAAATGGCTGGGGCAGATTGAAAGAATGTCAAATGGCAAAGAATAAAAACGGTATACACCAAGGAGATGAATGGTCGTAGACCACGAGGGAGACCAAGAAGACGACGGAGAGACAAAACCTGCAAACACTTGGTGTTACCAACTGGACAGAGAAGTCCAACCAGAGAGATGAATGGAGGCGGGTGATATCTGCAGCAACGAATCTCAAGGGCTCGGAATACTGAAGCAGGCCAACCAGAGAGATGAATGGAGGCGGGTGATATCTGCAGCAACGAATCTCAAGGGCTCGGAATACTGAAGCAGGCCAACCAGAGAGATGAATGGAGGCGGGTGATATCTGCAGCAACGAATCTCAAGGGCTCGGAATGGTGAAGCAGGCCAACCAGAGAGATGAATGAAGGCGGGTGATATCTGTAGCAACGAATCTCAAGGGCTCGGAATACTGAAGCAGGCCAACCAGAGAGATGAATGAAGGCGGGTGATATCTGCAGCAACGAATCTCAAGGGCTCGGAATACTGAAGCAGGCCAACCAGAGAGATAAATGGAGGCGGGTGATATCTGTAGCAACGAACCTCAAGGGCTCGGAATGGTGAAGCAGGCCAACCAGAGAGATGAATGGAGGCGGGTGATATCTGTAGCAACGAATCTCAAGGGCTCGGAATACTGAAGCAGGCCAACCAGAGAGATGAATGGAGGCGGGTGATATCTGCAGCAACGAATCTCAAGGGCTCGGAATGCTGAAGCAGGCCAACCAGAGAGATGAATGGAGGCGGGTGATATCTGCAGCAACGAATCTCAAGGGCTCGGAATGGTGAAGCAGGCCAACCAGAGAGATGAATGGAGGCGGGTGATATCTGTAGCAACGAATCTCAAGGGCTCGGAATACTGAAGCAGGCCAACCAGAGAGATGAATGGAGGCGGGTGATATCTGCAGCAACGAATCTCAAGGGCTCGGAATGCTGAAGCAGGCCAACCAGAGAGATGAATGAAGGCGGGTGATATCTGTAGCAACGAATCTCAAGGGCTCGGAATACTGAAGCAGGCCAACCAGAGAGATGAATGGAGGCGGGTGATATCTGCAGCAACGAATCTCAAGGGCTCGGAATACTGAAGCAGGCCAACCAGAGAGATGAATGGAGGCGGGTGATATCTGTAGCAACGAACCTCAAGGGCTCGGAATGGTGAAGAAGAAAAAAAACCCATCACAGAACTGTCACTCATAACGTTACCATCGTACACACGACACAATCGATGATGACTGACTTTCTACCCCACCAGGACATCACACAAGCGATAAACACCCGATGACACAATGTGCCACCATGTGGATAAGGATCGCCGTGGAGAGGTCCCAGAAACCGCGTTCAGACAATTGGCGATATTTATGGCCTGCCTATATTGCGGCCCCTGGCAAAAAGCCAGGGTGGGGCTTCAAATAACAACAAATTTCTCCCTAAAAAAGACGAAACTGGTTAATACGCAATCAATCAATGTTGAAACTTGGCGAAATTTTTACCCTTTTGCTTGAAGAAAACGAATCATACCAGGAATTTCACAGCCGGCAGGAGGGGCAATAACGGTGTCCATGTTTATTCGTCTGCGAATCGTTGGTAAGGTGGGATCGTGTGGGTGGGTCAAGGCTGTCTTGAAGACGGCCTTAGGTCGGTCAACACTGCTTTACGAGGTCACGCTTGCCTGACGATGGCTGAGTTGAATCTGATACCGTTCATCTGCATCCACAATTGACAGTACAAAACTTGACAGGGTGGAAGTGAAAATAAAACCATACAAAAGCCGATTCAATTCAAAACACTATGTTATTATTGCTGCATTATGTGGCAGTGTGGTTGTGAGTGCCGTCCTTAACGCCCTATAAAGACATTTTGTAGACGAGCTACTATTCTAAAGTATGTCAAAAATACGAGTGACCTCAGTAGATCTCATTTCAAGAAATACCTTAACACAACAAAAGCTATGACAGGAAAGTGCAACTGAGAGAAAGCGAGAGATGCCCAAAATACAACTGAATGTTTTGAACAGTCTTTATCAACGACCACAAGAACACGATTCCTAAAGCAGCAAAAATATGTTGGTTAACGATGCTTGTTGGAGATGTTTGACAGTAGCAAGTATAAAACCCACTGAGATAACATTAGAATCGACCCAAGCCAGTCAGCATGTACAGCGCTAATTCTCCAGCTGGTTTCGTAGAATATACCCCCCTCCTGTACATGTTCTTGGACATCCCGCTGATGTCTGGTCTCGGAGA